TCTGTCTCTCTCTCTCTCTCTCTCTCTCTCTCTCTCTCTCTCTCTCTCTCTCTCTCTCTCTCCAATCTCATCCACGCACGCCCTGTTGTTTTTATTGTAATGGGAAGATTTGAAGGTATGTGACTCAAGCTTACACAGCATCCCATGTTCGTTTGAAGCTTCCTCCAGGGTCATGGAGAAAACACATCTCTCATTGTCAATGATGAGCTCACTGCTCAAGTTCCTAATTTTAGCCCCTCGGCGCCTCAGATTCCATCTTTGTCCTTTCTTGTATGTCTTGTGATATACGTGTGTGTGTGTGTGTGTGTGTAAATTCATCCTGTCATCTCTTTCAAAAACTTTATCTTTTGCTCCTGTCTGATTTCTGTATTTCTTTGATGTCGTCAAGATCTTACATGTGCCCCTAGTCTTTATACTGTTTCTTCCAGTAATCACTTTGAGTTTGATTTCTACAACACCCTCTGTGAAAAATGTTCAGTACAGATGTGTCAAATGGCCTTCTGATGATATTCTGTAGCATTTCCTCATTTCATTTTCCAACACAGTTTTGATTCATTTGATGCAAATTTTGAATTCATACAACTTCTCCTTCTATTATGTTCATGAAACAATCATATTTCACCTTTTGTCCTTGGCTATGGAATCTATGAGTACTGTTCATATGTGTTCATATTCTTCCTTTACTTCCTTTGAAAGTATACGTTCCCATGTCTTCCAATCCTGGTCTTGTTAACTAACCAATGCTCCTCCTAACCAGTCTCCAACTCATTATAGTTCATTTACTTGTTTTTTCAGTTCCTTCCGTAGTCACCCTCACATCTGTCTTTATTCATCCAGGTTAGCCCAAATGGCCCATCTTCCTCTGTGCTGATCAAATCTAACAATGTACTCATATTTCAAGGTCAGTCAGCACCCTGATTTTTTCATTATGCCTTTGCCAAGCATGGAAAGACATTTCAAGCCTTTGTATAAAACCATATTTGGCTTGTAGCCTTCTTGACAAAAAGGTATTTCATATTATGACTAGTTATCTCAAACCATCATCATCTCTTCAACTGAAAACATGAATATTTATGTTTCCTCACTGTCTTATGATGTGTTAGATATATAAACGTTGCTTAATTAATTTGCTTAATGTTAAACAAACATTATTTAAAGAGGTAATTATAGATACATCATGTCATTGATACTGTCACTTTGAACAAAAGTAGACTTTTAAATGGACTTCTTGGAAGGTTATATGATACTGATTAAAATTCCGAGCTTTGAAGCAGATTGCCTAGGTTCACATCCTGGCTCTCTCACCTATCTGCTATGTGACTTTGGGAAAGTTAACTAACATCTTTGTACTTAACTATCTCCTCATGAAAACAGGGGAAGATAACAGTAACTGTACCATGGAGTCAATATGAGAGCAAATGAGGCATATCACATACTGAAAACAATTCTGTCATACAGAAATTGCTCCATGAATGTGGGCTATTCTTTTTTTTTATTGTAGAATATTTTTATTATTCCAAAGAGAAGCAATTTTAACACATCTTTCCAGATTTAACTTGAAGCAGGTTACATAAAAAATATATATACAATGAAATTTAAGGATGAAAAAGTAGGGATAAGAAATCAAAGACCAAAGCCAGGCATGGTGGCATATGTCTTTAATCCCAGCACTTGGGAGGCAGAGCCAGGTAGATCTCTGTGAGCTCAAGGCCAGCCTGGTCCACATAGCAAGCTTCAGGCCAGCTGGGGCAACAGGGAGACACTGTCTCAAAAAGACAAAAAAAATAAATAAATAAAAAATAAAAAAAATTCAAAGACCAAAGGATTTGCCAACATAGGGTCAACTGGGGTGGAATAAATGAAGGTTTTGATTAGCTCTGCTTTTTTTTTTTTTTTTTAAATCCTAACTAGTTTATTGGGCTTGCTAAGAGAGCACAGGGTGGGGGTTCATTTGCAGAAGAGTGAGCACCCCCCGCCAATTACGGCTGAGCTGGAAAGTGAATGTGGGCTATTTTAAAATGTTCCTTGCACATTAGACTGATAGTACCTCAGACCTAAAAGACCCTTCACTTTGTAATGGAAAAGCCAAGGAATCAAAGTAAAATGACTGGCTTAAGAATATATGGCTAATTTAGAAGCTAAGAAAAAAAACAGAGTTCTTTTGACTTCTTTTCACTGGATTTTTCTCCTTAAAGATATCTATATCTGAACATGAACTAACCTACAGTCTTAAGAGTTGGGGCCACTGGAAAGATGACTCAGTGGTTAAGAGTACTTCCAGCTCTCCAGAGGACCTGAGTTCAATTCCTAGCACCTATATCGGGAAGCTTACAACTGCCTGTAACTCTAGCTCCTGGGGATTTGATACCCTCTTCTGACTTCCTTGGGTTTCTGAACTCATGAGGTACATGTGCATACACACACACACACACACACACACACACACACACACACAATATTAAAAATAAAATAAATTGGGGCTGGAGGAATGGCTCCACAGTTAAGGGCACTGGCTACTCTTGCAGAGGACCTGGGTTAGGTTCCCAGCACCCACATGGCAGCTAACAGTGTAGTGTCTAACTCCAGTTCTAGAGGATGTGAAGTCCTCTTCTGACCTCTGTGGGCATTGTACAACATGGGTGCACCTACACACATGTAGATGCAGACAATACACTCATACACATAAAATAAAAATAATAAATATTTCTAAAAATAAATTTAAAAAATCTCTAAAAAAAAGTTGTAAGGGATAGTCAAGGGCCTTTTAACTTTTCCATAGGGGACCATATTGCATGGTCACTTATTACAATTACATCTTGCCATGTGAGAAGCTCCACTTCACAGATTCTTAGAACCTGCATCAGGGCCACAAGGTAAATTAAGAAACACATGAAATACTAGACTAGATGCCAAGGTCAGGTTCTCTGAGTTCAGATGAAACCATTTTAATGTGCATCTTCTGAAAAATAAAAATTTTCAGGGAAAACATTGTCTGGAAGACTCATTATAAAGCTGTGATCCAGACCTTCCCACACATACATGAATGTTTTGCAGATAGTATCTGTCCTTCCTGGTAAGAATCTGAAATTATGATTTTGGTGAACTCTGAACAATATCCTTTAGCAGCCAGGAGAGACACAGGAGCCAAGTACCAAGAACCAGGCAGAATTTCTGATGGTTTCGGCTTTCTTTGTTGTTCTCTGGAACAGTATTCAGCCTGGTTGTGCAATCAGCTACACCAGGGTTTTAAAGTTCAAACTAGCAGATATAGACTCTCAAGAGGAATTGTAGCAATAAAAGATTGCTATTAACGAGGCACAAATAAACATGTAAAGATTCATCAGATGCAATGTTATTCTCTGTCCCAATTCAACAGTAAGGGAAGAAATTTAATTTCTCTTTAATGCAAATGAAATCACCATATATAGCAGAGTAGCAAGAAAAAAGGCCAAAACAGATAATTATATTTTGTAGCTGCAAAGAATCATCTATCCCTACCCCCACTATAAACAAGACCCAGAGAACCCAATTCTCTGTGTATGATTGCTTTTAAGTTCCTGGCTGTAGTATACAGACTCTGTTATTACTTGGGATTTTAATTCTCAAAATGAAATTTCCATTACTTGAATCAGAACTTTGAATTACCTTTTTTATACTGAACACTGAATAAATATCCTCCAATGATCCTACAGGGGATGCATTGTCCTTCCTTTGTATTTTTATATTTTACTTATATCTTTAAACTTACTTATGACAACCTGACTTTTTCTACCTACTGTGTGTTTGTCTGTTAGTCTATAAACTCCTAAGGAGCAAATCCATGTCTCATAAATCTCTGTATTCTCCTGGAGACTTCTAGTGACTTGGGTGTGGTATCTGCTCAATAAGTATTCCCATGCTAAGCATTTCCCAGTTATAAATTATTACTCTTGGATTCTTAGGGCTAAAATATCTTTTTCCCCTTTCTGCGAACTTTAAAACTCAAGAGAAAAAGACCTTAGCAGATTAGTACTATAATTTAGAAGGTTATATAAATAGTAGGGAAGTGCCTAGCAAGTGTTGTTGAATAGAATTTTAATGAAAATTTTCAGAGGTTTCTTTTGAGGTTTCAGTTGAAGGGGACTCAATCACTTCTGTGTGACAGAGGAAAAGAGAAAACTCAGAGACATATCAGGAAGATATTCCAGGAAGACTACTGTGCTGCCTATGAAAAAGACCCAGTTAGCCAGGTCTTAACTGTAAGAGACAGTAAATGTGCCTGAATCACTAATTCCCAAGTTCTAGCTTTTGTTTCTAATGCTTTTTCTGAGAAATCAGCAGGTTTAACGTTCATGAAATATTTAAACCATGTCCGTTAGGACCATAGACAAGACAGGCCATGACTTACAGTATTTAGTCCAAGGTGTCCCTTGTGCAAGGATTAAGATTTCAAGACAGTGACAGCAGAACAGTAATGAAATGAACCTTTTTTAAAAAAAGAGATTTATTTTTATTATTTTAAATTATGTATATGCCCAGCAGTATATGCTCTAACTTCTGAACCACCTCTCCAGGTTCTGAAGAAACTTTGTGTGACTGCACTAGTTCTACACCTATGAAGCCAGCCCTGTCCAGAGGAAGGCAAAAGGCCTGCCACTGAGAAGAGAACCGTAATTCAAGTACATACAAGGAGCTACAGAAAATCAGAAGCAGCTTCTAATTCTGTAAAATCTAAGCTTACTTTTAGCAGAACAGTTAACAGAAGAAAACTATTTCAGGTTAAGGAGTAGTAGTATAAACAGGCAGGATTCCTCCATTAAACTTGGGAATTTTTTTTTTTTTTTTTTTTAAAGGAGACTGAAACATTAACATAGGAATGACAACTGAAATTGGAAAGACAGGAACATTATAAGGACAGAACACCCCAAGGGTCTTCTGTGTATCAATTATCTTTAATTAAACACAATATCCTTGTAAACACCCATTTTACAAACAGGTTAATTTAGGCCTACCAGAGTAACATTTTCAGGGTCTGTGATACATGCAATAAATATTTCGAGCAACGGCTGGCAGATCTGGTTCACTTATAACACAGTATATTTAATCCCTAATCAACGTTTAATTTGCTTTCAATTCCTCCAGCTGTTTTTCCCTCATTTCTCTGAACCCTGAGTCCTCTAGCCTGCTCCACGTCCCGCCCCCGGGATTCCTCCTGCGGGAAAGTGGCCACCGAGAATACTTCCGGTGGCAGAGGTCGGCCGCGGCAAGATGGCAGCCCCCTTGGAGCTCAGCTGCTGGGGAGGCGGCTGGGGGCTCCCTTCTGTGCACAGCGAGTCGCTGGTGGTGATGGTGAGGCCGGCTTGCGGGCCGGGGCGCAGGAAGCTGGGGCGCCCGAACGCGGGGGCGGGGCTCGCGGGGCTCGGCCGCTGGGGACCCCGGGACGCTCAGTTTTGAGGTGTCACCGCCTGGCCGGTGACCCCGCGGTGGCCGGGTCAAAGCGTGGGCTCCTCTCAGCCTTGCAAAGCTGCCTGGACTGTGGGGAGGAAGGACGCTCCGCGCAGCATCCTCAGGGCTTCCTGCGGAACCAGGTCCCCCGCGAAGCCGGGGAGACGCGCACATCCCGGACAGGAGATCTGGGGAGGGACGCGGCCAAAGTGGCCGCCGCTTTCTGCCTTTGCGGGATGCAACTGTCAAGGAAAGCCGCTCTGCAGACTTGGATGACGTACTAAGTCTAAAATGTGTATTGCAAACTCTGTTTCAGGCTTATGCCAAATTTTCTGGTGCACCCTTGAAAGTCAATGTTATAGATAACACCTGGAGAGGTTCAAGAGGTACAGTGTAAGCTTTTACACGCCCCTTTCTGCCCTTTGAATACCCTCCACCCGGGATTTATAGCTCTAGAGTTTCTTGGGGTATTAGTTTCTTAGGATGACCTTGGCTGTGTGTTGGTTATGGTTTGCTCATTTTGAGTAATAACTCAGAGCTGCAAGCGAAATTAGGGGAAAATATGAGACATGAAAATGTTCTCTCACGCTGCTCTTTGTGAAACTGCAAAACCCCCCAGACATTTCATACTCATCCCCCACTCGCAAATGTGCAATTGGTATTCGTTTTCAGGGTATTGAAATCTTAAGAGTAAATCACAGTGTTTCCTTGTATTAAACTATTTTTTGATTATAGGAGATGTACCAATTTTGACAACTGAAGACAACATTGTTTCTCACCCAGCAAAAATACTCAACTTTTTGAGAAAACAGGTGGGTGGCTTCTTTTGAAGAAGTAGATTACTGTTAATTTTTTTTCTTTTTTTTTAAAGACAGGGTCTCCTACTATCGCCTATGCTGGCCAGGAACTCACTGTGTACAAATCATTGTGTGATTTTTTTTTTTTTCTTTTTAGTTTTAGAAAAAACTGTCTCCAGTTTAATTAGGTAATTGGAAATGCCTGGGGTTTGATCTCCCCCACCCCACATAAAAATAGACTTTAGTATCAGTACTGTAAATCATGAGTTTTACTGTGATTTGAAAGTCATAATGAAGTGTAGTCAGTGTGTATTTTCAGGAATCTATTACAATTTATATATAAGAAGATTCACTTAGCTGTTTATAATGAGTTTTGTGCCAAATATGACATCTGTGTTCCCACCAAATGGCACCTGTTTTATTACTTATTCATTTTTGTCTTTGCTACAAAGGATTGAATCTACTAGGCAAGCACTCTACCACTGAGCTATATCTTCAGCTCTGTATTTTATTTTATTGTTTCTTGTTTTGTTTGAGGCAGGGTCTTGCATAGCTCAACTGGCCTCAAACTTATGTAGATTAGGCTGGCTTTCTCATGGTGATTCTCCTGTCACAGTTTTATTCATGTGGCACCACGCCCGGCTAAAATGTGTAGCCCAAGCTGGCCTCAAACTCCAGATCCACCTGCCTCTGCCGCTTCAGCTTATCCTACCAGTATGCGCCACCACTGCCAGCTGTATTTTATTTTTAAAAAGCACTTAGCTGGCCAGGTATGGCATTTTTGCATAGGACCCAGGTTCCTAGCACTTGGTTGGTGGCTAGACACTAACTCCAGTTCCAGTTCCAACATCCTCTTCTGGCCTCCTTGGGCATTGCCAGCATGTGGTACACTTATGTAGATGTAGGCAGAACCATCATACATATAAAAATAAGTGTTTTGGTCTTTTTTGAGACAGGGTCTCCCTATAGCCCCAGCTGGCCTGGAACTCACTTTGTGGACCAGGCTGGCCTTGAACTCCCAGAGATCTGCCTGCCTCTGCCTCCCGAGTGCTGGAACTAAAGGTGTGCGTCACCATACCCGGCCTCTTAACTTTGTACCAACTGTCATACTCTGAACAAGGTCATTACTAAGCATTGAAATAATAGAAGTTAAAGGACAAAAATTGCAGCATTTGTTTATTGTGTGTATGATATGCTGAGAACTCTGTGTACATTAAGGAATGGTGCTCACTGGGATTGTATGTCTCTTAACCCCTTTTAAATCAGCTTTACCATTTGTGAAGAAGATAGGGGTTGTAACTTGTTCAGTTTTGTAGTCCTTGGGCTGCTCTTTGACTTCTGAGATTAGTTGGTTTTGTTTCTTAATAGAAATATAATGCTGATTATGAACTCTCAGCAAAACAAGGGGCAGATACACTGGCTTACATTGCTCTCCTCGAAGAGAAACTTCTCCCTGCTGTGGTGAGTGTTTCTGAATATAGTATAGTGTTTTAGTGACTTAGTTGAAAATGTACTTAGTTTAGAAAGAACAATGAAAAGAGTGTAAGAGAGGAAATTTCACATACAACTCTGATCTTTTATATTATAATTAAACTGAACTCAGTACAACTTCCCACCAAAGTAAAAGGTAGTGTCTGTTTTGTTTTGTTTTGTTGTGCTAGGGAAGACTTGTGCTACTGAGTAACATTCCAACACAATATTATCATTTTGGAAATAAACACTGTTAGTGGGAGGCGAAGCTTTGCTTCTGTATAGAATTGCTTGTAGTTCGTTCATTCAGTAAATATTTACCGGCACCTGCTCTGTGCTAGGCTTTATTATGGGTGTGGAGATATAGCAGTCAACAAAATTCATATGCTCAAAGTAATCTCATCTTACCTTGAGGCACTATATCTGAAAAATTCAAGTGAAGTCACTTTATTCAGACACATGCAGGAAAATTTGTCACATTGACGAGCAATGTTTATTTTAATAAAAGAACATCCGTGGAATCTTTTTACCTTACTTTGGCAGCTTCACACATTCTGGGTTGAGAGTGACAATTATTTTACTGTGACAAAGCCATGGTTTGCTTCACGGATCCCTTTTCCCTTGAGTTTAATCCTGCCCGGAAAGATGTCTAGAGGAGCACTCAACAGGATTCTTCTGACAAGAGGAGAGCCTCCCCTCTACCGTGTCCAAGAAGTGGAAGCGCAGGTATGAACTGAATTATTCTCTGTGGAAGCACTCTGTAGGGAGGGAGAGGAGAGAGGGTGCAGGTGGCCCTACGTAGATGCTACCTCTAAAACAGGTTCAGAGCATCTTTCCTATTTCTGAGACTTAATTCCATCTGTTTTAGATATACAGAGATGCCAAGGAGTGCCTAAATCTTCTTTCAAACAGATTGGGAACCTCTCAGTTTTTCTTTGGTGATACGTGAGTACATGCCTTTACAGTCATTCTGGCATAGTCAGTGAAAAGTGAGTTAAAGCCAGTTCTTCTGTACCCCCAACAGATGAGTTTTTCCACTTCAGAAAAGGGCCTAAGGACATAGCTGAGTAGTAGAGCACTTGCCTAGCATTGGGTTCTATCCTTAGCATTGAAAAAGAAAGGATTTTCTGGGCTGTTGTAGGACACTTCTCCAGGCAGTGCTGATCTAACATTAACTTAATATGTTGTATATGTGAATATAAAAACATCAAACATTATTCCCATCCTACCTCCAGTCTGTAACACTTTTGGGTAAAAAATGAATCTGTAATTTAGAACTTCACTTTCTTCTGAATAAAATAAATGGTTAGAGTGTTTTTAAAATTACCTGAACTGTAAAGCTATGCTTGCTTCACTTTGGAAACTAAAATACATAGTAAACCTTTTAAAACTATTTTGCACTTGTAGACTTGATAAATACATTTGAAGAGAACTTTTCAAATCTAATCCCAAGTCAATATTTTCTAAAGCAGTTCTCAAGGAAAGTCCTTCATTTACCTCTAGGCCTTCTACCCTGGACGCCTATGTGTTTGGTTTCCTTGCACCTCTTTATAAAGTGCATTTTCCCAAAGTTCAGTTACAAGAACATCTGAAACAGCTCTCCAACCTGTGCCGCTTCTGTGATGACATCCTGAGCAGTTACTTTAGGCTTAGTCTTGAAGGTACGCTGAATTTTCTTTAGCCAATGTTTATCTTAATTATCTGCGAGAGAAACATAAGCAAAATTCATTACTTGGGAAAAGTCTGTGGATTGTCTTTAAATAACTGGTTTATAGTACTTCAAGTGCTTGTGGATTTTCAACTTCATTTTGTCTCCATGTTCTTTATTTAAATAGAGGAATAGGTAATTTGACTTTTATTATTCCTCTGGATTTTATGCATTACTTGCATCTTCTTAAGTATTTGCCCCTTTGAAGTGGGTCATTTTCTTCCAAAAGATTAAACTACAGATATTGAGTCCCTGCTGAAAAATAGTGTTTATCCTACTAGTACAAATGGGAAATTACTTTAAATGATTCTTACGTGCTGCTTCTAGCATTTTCCTTCATGAACAGAAATCAGTAGCAGATTGACTTTGGTGAGGTACACTCCCATGATTCTACTACTTGAAAACTGAGTGCATCAAACTAGGAGATATAGTAAGTAGAGGGCACCTGGCACTTAGGATGTAAATCTTTGTGAGTGTGGGGCCTTGTGCTTAAGTGAGTGGGATACTAAATTTGTATTTGGAGAGGTGGCTGAAATTGTGCTTTTAAGAAACAGAAGTTATAAAGATAGTTGG